GTAGTCAGGAGCATCACTTCCTAATGTTTATTGATATATTTAGAGGGAAGGGATGGCAAGGAATGCTTCAAAATTTAGATTAGATTCATTTCTACCATTTTTTTTAATTCATGGTGGTTTCAGTAATCCCATGGTACTTGAGGACATAAGTAATCTAAATGACTAATGTCATCTTTATGACTTTCAGAAAGGACAGGAGACCAACAGGTGACTATCAATGGACTAACAGCAACACGATTATGACGTTAAAAGTGTTGTTTTAGGAACATCCATTGTAAATACATGGAATTCAATAAACATTGAATAGCATGTCATGCAGTTTGTCTGTGCCTTTTCCTCCGTGTTGTCCTGGCATATCGTCTCCACCATGGTTTGCTGTGCTGCCTGGGGATGCTCCAATCGCTCAGAGAAAGGAGTAAGAATCAGAATGTACGGCTTCCCCACTGACACAGAGAGGAGGGAAAAATGGCTAGCTCAAGTCAGCAGGAGCAATTTAACAATCAAAACAGACAGCCGCAACAAAATATGTGAGGTAATCATATTCAAACACTGCATTTGCACTTTTCCACAAAACGAAGACCACACCATTGGGAAGCTTAATGTTTGGTTTAATACAAATAACAGGGAAAGGCTTGAAAAACTCTGAGAGTTGAGACTCAGGGTGCAGGGTGAGGGTCTCAGTGCAGGTATTCAGGCTCTATTGAATCCCCCTCTGGTTCTTGTGCTGAAAGAGGGAGAAACAGACAGGAGAAAGGGTTATACACACCTATATAGCACATCTATTGGATGGGAAATTGCGTTGGGGAGATAAGGTGTGGTCTTTGTTTCCAACTGAAGTTATGGAACTTTATTATTTGTGAGTTTAACAAAGTATGACAAATGGCATCAGTAATGGATGTGATATGAATTTGTATAAAGTTGTCTCACATTCTTGGTCGTATTTTACGTACAGTATGTAATGAGTGTATACATGTCCAGTAAGTCCTCCACCTGTAACATCACTGCCCCTCCACCTGCCATACAGTAGGTTACTAATATACACTAACACGATTACTTATATAATACAGTGATAGAATATATGCTTACTTATATACAACAGTAGTATTAAATGTACCTTGTGTTTTCACTCTCACTTTGCCATCATTTCAAAATCAGCTGAGCTGCAACATAATACAGACAGGTAATAATCAACAGAATACACTAAAAACACTCACCCATAAATTACGTTTTTGTTTACTGTTTGGAAGTCTCAAATATGCACTCTAAATTAATATCAAATAGCTCTCTTCCTTATTATTGTGTAACGTTAACTTTATTATACTAGCTTGTAGGTCTACTCCAAAATGGAGATCGTAATTTCTCCACTTCCACTCATTACAATCACACATGCCCCAATGTTATATTTAACTAATATTATATTCCTCCACCCCACAAAAAAATCACGTTTAGAAGCCCTTTTTCTCTAATTCCACAACGTTGGATGAAATAACATTAGGAGAACGGATTAATAGCTGTTCATGGTTAACGTGTGTTGCTAATTTTATCCGGTATCCTAGCCTAATCTGTTATCTGTAAACGTTCCCTAAATCTACTGATTTAGGGATAATCCACTAACATCCTTTAATACACATGTTCATTTGACTCAGATGTGCTGATAATATCCGCAATATAAATCTTTAAACGTCTTCTTACCTTTCAAAGTCCATCACAAACCCTGCAACTCTACTGCGCTGCCAGCCACAGATCGTGGAGCCTCTCGAGTCAATAGTCCCCCGGAAGTCAGCGGCAAGCTAACTTCCGGGGAACTATTGACGGCTCCACCATCCGCCATTGCTGTAAAAAAACTGGTCCATTGGAGTGAACGGAGATGTCGTAACTCTTCTATTATACGGCTCTGGCTAAAATGCATGATCTGTTTGGTATTTTGAAAAAAAAAAAGTATAAATATGCCTTATATAGGTATGGTCCTACAGTATATTATTCAAATATAGCATGATAGGTCCACTTTAACAATAAACTCAACTATGTTTAAATTATAGTTAGATCAAGAGAAAGATATACATTAAAACAATTGTTTTCTACAGAATTCTAGCCACCATTGAGCGCTGCTGAAAAGCAACAAATAAAACATCTAATAAATTATGTACCATTGATGCATGAGATGGCCAAATCTATTTTTGATGGTTTAGTAAGAAATCACTTTATTTGCTCTGAGTCTAATGTGGTCGACTTTGCTAATGTTAAATGAAGAAATGAGAGTGCTGCAGCTCATTATAGGCATATCAATGAGGGGTAAACTGTTACGCTATACACAGGGGTGCACATAACTTTCTACTCAGATGAGTACCTGGAGTCAGTGTTTGGTACTCCAACTTCTGGCTCCACTCACAGTTAATTGATGAAGCCCTCTGTATCGCAAATGTCAACGGGGGGTGCTAGTGGAGTACTTCAGGAAAGTCGACGGGGGGGGGGGGGGGGGCTAGTGGAGTACTTCGTGACCACAGAGTGTGAAAGTTGTGATCAGCTGTTTTAGCGCAGTTCTCCAGTGAAGGGGGGGAGTCTCCCTCCGCAGCCGGTTGGCGTAGTTTTGGCACAATTCCGTTGTACAGACCGACGTTAACAGCAGCCCTGTCTGTGCACACGGAGACCGACTCTGTCGTCCGGTGATCTAACCGCCTTCTGGAAAAGCTTCACAGGTACGTCGGCACGCAAATGCGCTTTGTAACACAAGTGACGCATTTCAGATTGTTGCCGCTATTATGGCGCATTTCCATTGCAGCGCGTAGCTCGCTTTAAGCGTGCCGTGTCGTGCCGTCCCCTTTTTTGGTTGTGCTTCCACTAGGCCTCGTTCCGGCGCGGCACGGCGCGGGGCCACTTTTTCCCCTCTTTTCTGGCCCTAGAAAATTGTGGTTCTATCGGGGCCAACAAACAGGGCTGAGTCGGGCTGAGTATGCTAAACTAGAGAGAGGAGCGCTGGCAAGAGGGCTAGAACTACAACAAGATGGACATATTTGACCGTGATTTAATTGTAATACACGTTTCAAAATGATGCCGAAGTAACAACATACTGATACCGGTTAGTAAAAACCATGAATTAATGCTTTGTCAAGTCTGCAGACAGACGGCAGGCGAAAAACCTTTTAAAATTCGTGTTTTTCTAGATGGAGATTGGCTAAGCTAACGCAGTATATGCCCCGACCGTCCACACTCACAACAACGGCCTATACAGACATAAATACAGCAGCGACTGTATTCACCATGACACAGGCAGTCTGTGGTGTGTACTTGTTTAACTTTTGTCGAGTTTCTGAACATATATAAGGAGCTGTGAGCTCTGAGTGCTCACAGCTAACGGCTGTGTTGTGTTTCTGGATTTCTCATTGAAGATGACGTCACGGCTCCGCCTACACTGCGTTACTATAGTAACTACCCCAGTTCCTAAACTGTAATGGAAGCGCAGCATGAAGTGAGTCGGCCCTGTTAAGGCCCAACGCGGCCAAGCCGTACCGAGCCGTACCGAGTGTGGCCGAGGCCGACCGTGTAGTGGAAATGCGCCATTAGAGTATTCGATGTTCTCGCGCCCAGGAGAGGAGCTTTAAATAACGAGACTAATGGAGTCTCTGAAGAGGTTCAAATGGGTAGTTTAATTAAGTAACGTGGTTGAAGAACAAGCACGGGTAATGGAGAGACAAAGCCGGTGATGTCTTCAGGGTGAGCTGCAGCGAAGGAAAGGGCCGAGTTGTCCTCTGTCCTCTGTTTTTATGCACGTCTCGTTGTCCCCCGCTGTGCAGATAGTGGGACCTCCCTTCTCATCTGTGGGTTCGATATCGCGAGAGACCAGATGATTTCGACATTTGGTTTTCTCTGCCTACTTCCTTAAGCATTTTCTCCTCCTTATCTCTGTCATGACTTTCTATTTAATACCTGATAAACAGCTGTAATCGTTAGTTTAGAAGTCCTAAAAACGCTTCTATGGCACAGTTCTCATTTACGGTAGCTCCCTCTGACGTCATAGCTACTCACGTAATGTGTAAACACTCCATGATCAACTGTACCTTCATTTAATATTCAGCAGTAATAATATCTTAACGTCTATCGATGTAGTGTTAAAGTCCGTACGTTTGTGTGTAACACTCCAAGTCATTTTCACTTTACATTCAGAAAACGCAACATTAGTCACATGCTAACCGGATAAAGGATTTTCAGAATAAAAGCTTGGCATTGATTTCCTGAGAACTTCCGGGCTTTTCCACAATAAAACAGCTTTAAACTGACGATATGTTTTAGACTGAATTATGCTGTTTAACATTGATTTTAATTTCTAACACCGCGCATGCGTACCTGCGTACCAGTTATGTGCACCCCTGGCTATACATTACACCATATAATGATTCTACAAGCTCTCCTTTTGGTAATTTAGTGTGCATATACCCCCAGTGCTGCTCTGTGAGACGCACTGGCCCAAAAATACTTTTTAACATTTACAATGATTGGAGAACAGAGTGTGTGTGCGTCAGTCATAACACACTATTGGCATTGTCAAATATGAGAAGGAAAGAAAACCTTAAAACACGTATGCTGCTTTACTCTCTGGTGATCAACTACCTTTTCTCCCCAGGGTGAATCATAGTGTGTGTGTGTGTGTGTGTGTGTGTGTGTGTGTGTGTGTGTGTGTGTGTGTGTGTGTGTGTGTGTGTGTGTGTGTGTGTGTGTGTGTGTGTGTGTGTGTGTGTGTGTGTGTGTGTGTGTGTGTGTGTGTGTGTGTGTGAAAAAAGGAATTCCAAGAGGTCTTCTGAGTTGATGAGGAAATTCACCTTAACCTTTTCGAAAGCACTCCTGGGAAATGTCACATCACACACACACACATACACACGCACACGCACACACACACACACACACACACACACACACACACACACACACACACACACACACACACAAAGCACATGTTTAAATGTCTTGCTTTCATTAGAGAATGTTAAAACTCATGCATCAAAAGATATGTTTAATGGGACGTCTGAGTAAAAATGCAAACAATAACAGATGAGTTTGAGGTGCACAACACCTATGAAACACACAATATGGTACATGAGGAACAGCAGTCAGGACAGCAGTCTCTACACACATGGGGAACGAGCTCTGCTGACTCGGTGATATGCAGAGCTCCACGTGGACATACCTCTGTTAGTGCACGTTTCAGACTCACATCGCAACAGTCAATATTCTGCTTTACAGCTTCATGCTCTCGTTTTTCCAAATGAAGTTGAAAGTTATGCGAATGTGCAGGATCTGTCTGATAGTGTTTGCTAGTAGCTGGTCCTCTCTCTGCTGCTGTGAACAAGGGTCACGTGACATATTTAATGCAGCGAGGCTCTTTGTGTTTCTGTGGATGATCCGAACATCGCTCAGTCAGCATCTGTGAGCTGCTCAAACTACATTTCCCTCTAGCTCGTGAGAATATAGGGTAGCCTATGTAACATGACATGAACATGTATTTTGTCAAACCCAGCAGACACAATATGTTCAGTGTCCAAAATGTATGACCGTCAAACACAGTCACGCAAATAAGCAGAAACGCAGTGTCAGAGAGAAATAAGAAAACAACCATTTGTTTTAAATGAGCTTGAGAGGTGTTGGAGAATGTAGTACACATTTTCAACATTAGGCGTCAAGTAGCCTAGTTGTGTCTATACGATTTGTCTTTTAATGTAAAGCCTGTGGAGCCCTCTGAATGATCAGCTGATGAACACAGATGAAAATATGCTGATTATGAAACATCAAGTCCCTACAGTTATACAAATATAATACAACTCATCATTGAAGTAAGTAGCCTATGTCCTGGTCATCTCGCGCAATTTTATGGAGCATAATGTTCTTCTTGATGTCTCCAAAATATTTCCAAAATGTCAAGTGTGGTGCAGGCCAAAGCGGGCCGAAGCAGGCCGAAGCAGGCAAGTCTGTCCTGGGAGCAGCAGAGGCTGCAGAGCGGCGGAGAGACCCGCCGAGAAGGGGAGCTCCTCAGCAGCTGCGGGCCGGGTCTCTGCCCCCTATCCGTGGTAAGACCCGGCCGCTGGCTCAGTCTACTCGCAGGCCGACACGCTGTTGATCTTGGCGGTGTTCTCGGTCCACGGTTGCAGGTTCTGCAGGGCGTACAGAGAGCTGTTCTGTAGGCACAGCGGGTCCGGGGCCACTGGCTGGGTGATGGTCTTCTGGAAGGCCTCCTGCTGCAGCTGCACGAGGATCCGGTTGGCCTGCTGCCGCTCCGCCTCGCGCTCCTCCGCCGTCTGCCGCCTGCAGCAGAGAAACATGCTCTAATACTCCTACTATAATCTATAATATAATATATAATCTTTAGCCCACTAAAATAGTCTTATTATTGTCTATATATTGTAGGCCAATATAGACAATAGTAAGATTATTTTAGCCTTTCAGAAGACCGTCATTAGGAATATTAAACAGCAAGTAAAAATATAATATTAAGAGTATTAAACAGTGTTTTTAATATTCCTAATATTATCTTTTTACTTGCTGTTTAATATGCCTGATATTATCTTTTTACTTGCTGTTTAATATGCCAAATATTATCTTTTTATTTTATGTTTAATATGCTTAATATTATGATTTGTACTTGCTGTTTAATATTCCTAATATTATAATTTCCACTTGCTGTTTAACATTCCTAATATTGTCTTTTTACTTGCTGTTTAATATATTATCTTTTTACTTGCCGTTTAATATTCCTAATATTATCTTTATGCACGATGTTATTTTTCTGCAGTGCCCTCTCAGTTTGATACATAGGCCTATATTATTATTACCAATTCAAAAGTTGTGTCCTTGTCAACGAAAAATTAAATGATAAGAACAGCCGAAAAATAAGCAGAAGGCTTCACACGTTGTCAAAATATAAGTGTAATTATTCACATGTGTTCATATCAGATGATTAGAGTGCAAGCCGGCAGTGAGAGGCAATTCAGTTCCTCTATAAAACGATTCACTGATAATACCATGTTCTGCAGAAACAATACGCTAATAGTGTATAATGTTTATAGCGTTAAGCTCTAAGGATTCGTAACTACTATAAATATTATCAAAAAGGTCTAAAATTACACATTTAATTTGAATGAATTTACACAAGTTGTATGGGTATTGTTGTTGTTTAAAGGTAGGGTATAAGTTTGAGAAACCGGCTCGAGATCGCTAGAATTTGAAAATAGAAAATACACAGCCGGAGAAAATCTGCCACTTCCTTACAGAGCCCCTCCTCCAACACACACGAACGCGCACATGACCAATGAGGGCACGAGATAAGTTTGTGCACAGATGGAAGGCTGACAGGCAGGTAGGCCATCCAGTTATTTTAGCTGGGCCGACCAATGATTGGTCGTGCTTTTTACAGTACTACGGCTTCCACAGATGATATTTTATGGATTTTTTGTCAAAGCACTTAAGATATTCATTGCTATCGGGATGTTAAGAGCATTCCATGGAATATAACAAAAAGTGTATCTCGAGCCGGTTTCTCAAACTTACCTACCCTACCTTTAATAAACATGTTGGTAGAACGTTTTTGATGGATGTTCGGGCCCTTTCATTTGTGCTTGTTTTCTCTCCAACACTGCGTTTGCCCATTGCTCTCATTGTTGGTGAGTGAATAGCAGAAAGAGCAAGAGTCTCCTCCACAAACCGAGCACCATGCTTCATGAAGAAGGGCCTCTCCTGGAGCGCTTTAAAGCCACCGGAGGGGCACCGACAGCCACAAGAGGCCCTCCCTCCACAGAGTGGGTAGAGGTCTACAAGTATTAATTACAGTCTTTGAAATTAAACAAAAGCTCACCTCCATTTGGTGCGTCTGTTCTGGAACCAGGTCTTGACCTGAGCGTCGGTCATCTTCAGGCTTTTGGCCAGCGCCGCCCGCTCCGCGGACGCCAGGTACTTCTGCCGGTGGAAGCGCTTCTCCAGCTCACACACCTGCAGCCGGCTGAACGACGTCCGCGGCTTCTTCTTCTTTGGGGGGGGTCCTGTTTTGGTACGGGTGACCTACACGACGGGTGACAGTAAGGGGGGACAGGGACACTGACCCGGCCGAAGGACAGAGCGGCAGGAGGAGAGGTGAGGAGGAGAGGAGGAGGGGAGGAGAGGAGGAGAAGTGAGGAGGAGGAGAGGAGGAGATGTGAGGAGGAGAGGAGGGGAGGGGAGGAGGAGAGAGCACTGATTATCTTTTTAAATAAGAGTCAATATTTTATGTTTAAGTGTTAAATCATTTTGTCAGCGCTCAGGAAACATAAGCATTGTAGAATTTCTTATTTGTATTAACACATTTATTTCTTACACCGTAACGAAAGAACCTTTGAGGATAATCCAGAGAAATTGATTAGAAAAGGTGTTTTTTGAGTGAAGCCCCCAAAAAACGTTTAAATAATGTATTTACATATATTAATATTGAATTCATGAAATCCAAACTTGCTCTGAAATGTTGGTGATTAATCACAAAATGTTTCACCCAGCAGTATTGTGACAATGTCTATCTCAGTCTTTAAATTATTATTATTATTATTCTGATTAAAAATCTTTTTATAGCGTTTCGATAATGCTGTTTATCATTTAGAAATTGAAAGCAAAATATATGCATACACATGAGAGTGGTCTGTACTGATTGTATGTACAAAGAGAAAACAAATAATTACAAAGAACACAAACAAACAATAACAACGACATTATTATTATTGTTATCATTATAGCCTAATGAAAGTACTTCCGTTCCCAGTTAAAGGTTGATTCTTGTCGATATCAAATTTTACATGTTATTTATGTGTGTAATGTACCGCAGGTCTCCCTTGAAAAAGAGATCGTTGATCTCAATGGGATTTTTTAACCTGGTTAAATAAAGGCTACAAACAAACAAACAAATGTAATAGCTACGTTTTCCAAAATGATTGAAAATGGATTCTTCCGTTACACATAATCAGGCAAATTATGATGATTCAGGGAGATTTTCTATTTATGTATTATATAAAGTTGTATGGATTGTGTTAAATCAAAGTGAAATGAACAAAAAGCTTTAAAAAATGTTTTTTTCTTTATACTGAGGCCTACATCTTTGAATTTTTTTTTCATTTTGTTAAATTTGTTTTCTATAATGTATTCTAATATTTAATATTTGATTTCGTTAGATCCTGTTTTGTTATAATGTATTCTATTATTTATGTTATATTGTGTTATGTCAGGATTTATTATATTAGTTTATTTTAGATGAATGAGTATTATATAATGTTGTTTGCTGTATTTGATCTACCTGTGAACCTGTCTTTGGTGAAGCGCCGGTTGCTCTCCATCCAGGGGAAGGTGAGCGCGCTCAGGCTGATGTTCCCGGCACCCGGCGGCGCGGACCCCGCAGAGCTCCCGCAGCTCAGGGGTCGGTGTGCCGGGACCCGGATGACCCCATGCCCGGCAGAAGTAACGTTAGGCCCGTTCGAATTCACGCCCATGTTCATGTGATAAGCCGAGCCGAGGGAAGCCATCCCGCACGCACTGCTGGTGCCGTTATATCCGGTGTTACTGTACATGTAGCCGCCACCGTTCGCGTCGCTGTTGTTGTAGGCCCCGTGCCCATAGTCCTGCTCTTGCATCCTCGCGCTCAGCATGCAGCTCTCCATACTGAGGATCTGCTCGATGCCAAAGCTGATGGGCTCCGCGTGCGGGTGCTCCTGCAGATGCGCCCCCGGTATCCCGGTGTGATCCATGGCCTCCGCTGTGCGAGTCCCCAGCTCCGGCGCGAGGAACAGAGTTTGCTCCACGCGCCGATCCCAGGACTCAACGTCTGGGTTTATTCTGCACGAGCTCCTGTCGTTATCTACCGAGTGTTTGTGTGTGCGTATGTGTGTTTTTTCGGTGTGTATGCAGGAAAGCAACGCTCCACTTTGCCGTCCACGAGGACATCAATCAAAGTGCCAAATAGGCAGCACGAGACGTCTCGGCCTGAATCCGACCGGCGAAAGACTGCGCTGTGTGGAGGCGCGCTCATAAAACTCTGATTAACAGCTGGACACGGGCACACACACACACACACACACACACACACACACACACACACACACACACACACACACACACACACACACACACACACAGCTGACATTATTGACAATATTCAGCGGAAGCAATAGAAACACTTGTGAATGAAACCACCACAGGACAGTTTATCTTAAAATAAATAAATACAACATCATCTGTTTTGATCCAATCTGCAGAAATGTTTCAACCTCAATAAATTGACATCATTGCTTCATAAATCACTGCAAAATGATGGATGTGTAATGTAGGCTTCTCAGTTTTTGTATGGAGCTGGCCCTATTATTAATTCATGTCTAGTAATGACAATGCTGCAAACATGGAAGCCTTTTCATTTGTTTTAGGTGGGAACACACCAGAGTTGCTGCATCTGCTGCTGCATGGCATCTTTCCTGGATTAAAAGCATCAGAAAGTGTAAAAAATACAGGCTAGGTCATTTGGTATAGGCTTCATTCATTAAAATAATAATGAATACAAAATGATTAGGCCTACTGATATGCAGTGGTTTTAAATTAGCGGGATTTGTACTGCCATAATAAATGGATGTAACGTTGTTTAATCGTAGATCATAAATAACAATCATGTGACGCTGCTGTTCCAAAAAAATACACCAGCTCAGTAACAATTAAATGAAAAATGTAACTTGCTCATTGACGTTCTCTCCTTCTAAAAGCCATTGGGACTTAATTATCTAACATGGGTATTAATATTTCATCTGCTTTTAGCAGCACTCACACACGCACACACACACAGTTGACTGATCAAATTGTTATCTGCACATGGACGTGCACATATTTTTATAACCGTGGACCGATAATAAACATTAGGGCCCGCAAACAGCTCTACATTACTCAGATGAACAGCAATCATGGACTAATGCAATAGAGATTTTAAATGGAACTTATGCTGTTTTATTTACGATCAAATGACAAAAACATGTTTTTTAACATAATTGTTGGTAAAACTGATCTCACTCAATACATCTTGTTTAAACCAACCAGAGGACATTAACTAATGACACATACATTCGTCATTATAATGACAATTTTGTGAGATTTCAGATTTACAAGTGAGGCTTTGTTGCACATAACATTAGCAGTAACACATCGATACTGTTTGTAGTTCTACCCGAAGCACGGGGAGTAACACTGGGAGGAACACTAACATTTCAGGAACACTGCATAAGCCCTGGCAGTAAGCTCTGTCCGATGCAGAGCAAAACGGCTCCCTCATTCTCTCATAGGACACATGAAGGAATAGAAAGAGAGGATTATTAAAGGACTGACACTCTTTAGTTGTCACACACGTACTTTGCACATCACAGCACACAGTGCAATTAGACCTCTGCATTTATCCATAGTTCCAGTACAAGAAGCAGTGGGCACTCCAAGTACCAAGTACTCCCTACTTTGGTGATCGTGGCCTTGAACCGGCCACCCTCCGGTTCCCAAGCCAATTGAGCTACTGCCCTCCCCAAAAAAAGAAACATTATGGTTGGCCTTGGGGAGAAGCAGAATTAAATGGAAATCTAATGTGGGGTATGTGCTGTAGTTACATTACATGTCACTTGTTAGATGCTTTTATCCAAAGCGATTTATACACTCAATACATCCCCACAGGAGCAATTTGGGGTCTTGTCTTGCCCAAGGACACAACGACATGCTGACTGCAGTGGGGATTGAACCAGCGCTCCGCCTATCCAAATATCAGCACACCAACCCACCGAGCCACAGCCTCCACAGCTGTATCTATGTAATCTTAGAAAAGGGTCTTTATTACAAGCCTCCACATTGAGCACCCGACTGTGGAGTTGAATTACATCACAGGTTGAACTCACTCGTTGTTTAACGCTGCTCTGTCCTTAAGGGTTGGTGACTTTTGGTTATGTGAAAACTGTGACAGATACCAATTATACTTGTTGGGTCTGTATGTATAGGCCTATGTGATGAACAAACATTTTCATTTCGATTGACTTGAACTCAAAATGACCTTTTTTCGAAAACAAGTCTAGGAAGTGGAAGTCAATTGACAGCCTCAGTGTGTCAGCGTTGGAACACTTGGAGGTACTGAGGAGCACAGATAAGTGAGGGATCATCCTGTTTGCTAAGCAGCACAAAATAGACGTTTGACCTGAATCCGATTGGCTAAAGTCTGAGCTGTGTGGAGGCCAGGTCATAAAACTCTGATTAACAGCTGGACACGGGCACACACACACACACACACACACACACACACACACACACACACACACACACACACACACACACACACACCAACCCTGTCTCCTAAAAATTACGTTCCCACAGAACTAAACTGCATTCTCAATTACGTTTAGCTAGAAACGTATTTTCTCCCACGTTACGTTTGTTATGAACGTATCTCAAATACGTTTATTTTCTGCATATCTTTGCCATTTATTGTCTTGCTTATAATAATGATAATAGTCATTTATAAATATCATTTTAGAGCACACATTTGAAATCGACGATCGGGCTCGATATATGGTTAAATTAAAATCAGTAGGCAAGGCTGTAATTTCTCCAGCTGTTACTCTCATGAGGCAGAAGATAATAGTTGTATCATGCCAAAAAGCTGCTGTGTCGTTTATTGCACCTCAAACATTAAAACAAATCCAGAGTTACGTGTTTCTGTACTTCCTCTAAGAACAAAGGACAGTAACAGAAGAGCTCTGTGGCTTCAGGCTTGATCGCCGTTCAAATGACAGCGTTGGTTTCCCCAAAAGTGGGCGGGGCTGTAAAGTGACGTAGATTTTACTCTCATCTATTATTCAAAACCATTCAATTTATTCTAACGTAAATTACATGCCAGTGTTTTATCTTTTTATTTAGCGATTTGTTTTTGCACTGGGAATGTTTTCACATTGAACCGGAAGTACGTCACTTCACTTTGTCTTCTTCGTCCCTTTTACGTTCCAGACAATGCATGGCTCAGCGTAACAGACAGAACAGCGACCCCAGGTGTGTCTACATTGGAATTACATCTTCATTACTGAAGGAAAAATACTTTACCTAGTGTTTGTTAACTGTGTTTTTAATGCAGTTGGCTTTTCTTAATGGTTACAATATTGCTATGAGTTATATCTGAAGCAAATTATGTTTCTGAAGATGTGTAGTCAATTCCACCCTTCAATGTAGCATAAATGTGAACTCTCATTACAGGAACAATACCGGAAACAGATGTAGGAAAGATCCTCAGATCAGTGATTGGATGGTTTAGCCGCAATGCACGTTGGGATATGGTGTTTATGCGATGTGAAATCCGAAAACATTTAAAAATAAAATAATACTTTATTCCGAGTGTTCTTGCTTTTCTCTTTGGAAGTCATCACATAACGGCATTGTAATACACGGTTCAGCTGCATTAAATATTACACATCTGCCGTAGTTCTTTATTTATAGAGCCCTGATGAGAAGACTTCTGGACAAACAGGAAGAAGTGCCGCCGAAACTGAATACGTGACGTGGATCATAAATATATCAACAATTAAACAACATCTTACATTTCTTTTCACAAAATACGTCTCCTTGCAGTATCAATACTAATTCGGCTGACTTTTATATTTGATCCAATTGGTAGATAGGTTATATTTACACCATAACGGTGCACAGCTGATAGAAAAGGACTTGTCGTTTTTAAAGATATTACTGATTTTCTTTGAATATAAGAATGTAAATACTGAGTTGAGAGAATAGTCAGGGGATTTGGGTGATGGGAGACACATCTATGGATTCAGAATTTCAATAGCTTACCATCAAATGACGGATATACCTTTCTGTCTGTGATACAAATCAGATATTAATGTGTAGAAGTAAAACATGTGAAATAATATAGCAATATCCTGTAAAATTATGTAAAAACATGAATAAAACTACACATCTTCAGATGTTATACATACATAAGTGTCCTACACTAATAATACAAAGTTATTATTAGTATACTGTGTGTACCTTGTGTGCACCGCCTAGTGGTTAAAGCACGTTATTGAATTATTTTTGTTGAATAATGTTATTTTTGTTGAATAATGTTATTTGATGAAAAAAATATTAAGAGTACATACTTTCATAGGGGGAAAGTAGAAGGTCAATGATAGAAATATAGAATATAAAAAATCAAGAAGTAACTGTAAGTGATCTCTACAATAAAACAGTTTAGTGCCGGATGTACAAAGATATTAATATGAGGATGTGCAAAACAGACAAACTAATTAACCTTTATAAACACATTAAAGAATACTTTAGGTTAAGGTCTTCTTTTAAATAAGAAAACAGCTTTGGGGGTATCTACAGATAAATATTAAGCCTGACAAAGTACTTAACGTCTAATATATTGCTTTCCTGCAATGTTAACTATGTTGAAGCACTTATTTTTAACTGATATTATACACATTAATTATACTCTTATGTATGTAGATAGTATAAGAAATGTGCAGAATATGTTTAATGGTGGAGGTATACACACATATTGATAGATGTCTTGTAATGCACTGTTGAGGAACCTGTGACCCAAGTTTGTCATCATTGCATAACTACACCGTAGTTGTGTATGATATGTCAATAAAGCTTAGAAAATCTTGAAATCTTGAAAGGGATGTGCAAAATAGCCATTATATACAGTTTTTAATTAACTATTAGTAGAGAATAACGAGTAATGAATATACTTTATAGGGATCTGCAGATAAATGTTTTGTCTTCTCAAGCAGCAACTATCAAATATCTCTCCTGATTGTTTGCACTTGACAATCACCTTTCCCTGAATTTTACTCAGGTGTAACTAAAATCTGATTCAAGGGTTGTTTATATTTCACATCATTAATCAGAATCTGCAA